AGAGAGAGAGAGAGAGAGAAGGGGGGGGGACTGTGCCAAGCTGTCCATTATGTGACTGTGACACGTGCTACTTCGTTTTTTCTTTGCCTTTTGCCTTCCAGGACATGTTCCAAGATGCACGCCCGGCATTATGGCTCTCATGTCAATGCTACTCCCGACAAGTCCCCCACCCGAAGAGCAACTGACAAGCAGATTGAATGCTGATTGTTTCATTCATACAATGGAAAACTTGCTTAACATCAGTGGCACTCCTATAGTTGGAGGCGCCTTGCAACAACTTCCCTGGGCCAATTGTCAATGACATCATCCGAGCCCACCAAACTGAGACCCACACGCGCTTGCACTTGCACACACAGCGCCCAAAGTCAACAAGTAAGCACGGGGCATACATCCAAGAAAGCTTGATCACAAAAATATCCAGAGAAGTTGAGAGAACACAGCAAACAAAGTCTGATTCTGAATCTTTACCAAAAACATCAACGGGACAACGGACTAGATTTTCTCAGAAAAGTCCAGAGTTCTTGCACATCACAAAACAAAAACGATGCTGCAAAGGTGACGGCTCCCCAAACAAAACACGCAAAGATAAAGAAAAAAGAATGCTCGGTGGTATTCCCTGCTATTTTCTTGCACGCGGGTTTTCGTCTGCTCTCAGGCTCTTCTTTTTGAAAGAAGCAGCATATGATAGGGGAGTTCCTTATGCGTTTTCTATCTTTTGTGTTTTTTTCTTTTTCTGTTTTCGCGGGTGAAGCCGCAACAGGTCATCTAGTTTCTATGTATACCCTTTGGCGGTCACCGTTCCTCAATATCCGTTTCTTTGTCAGTACCATTCAAACACATATTCCCAATATGGGCACCAAGCAATGCTGTAGCGCTTTTGGACATGTGCGCACTTTTGTTGCTTGTTCCTGAATCCATATATCCGTCTACCCGGGGCCGCCTCCTAGTGGTCAATCCCCTTTGACAACTTTTTTTTTTTATGTGAGTCAAATGGTGCTGGTCCATCTCCCGTTTCTTTGCGAAAGAGGTGGTCCTCATCACCGTCATTCGCTGTTACTCCGGCATTTCCGACCGAGCGTGATAACAATCACAATCAGTGACTTGGCTTTCCAAACGTGATAACAATCACAGTCCAAGGTGAGGTGTCCGCTTTCCAAATTCCTTCTGTAGCGTATGTTGCCTCCTTGATTTTTCCGGATTTGCTTCCCCTGCTGAAACAATGGTTCCTTATTTCCCTGGCCTTAATTGCCCATTACGCTTGACTGCGAATAACTGTCTGAAACCATCAAACACTGCTCTCAGACATCGCCTTCAACTTTGTCTTTTCCTCTTATATTTCTAATCCCACACCCACCATCCTCCTCTTCCTCCTCGGAGTAATTATATCATCAGCAAACTTCTTTTGACGCTGGCGAATCCCCATGGTCAACTCTTGTCGTCTTTTTCCCTGATGCTTCTGCTGGGAATGGGCCAATCTTTCCCTGTTTTGTTCTCTGTGTTGGTTAAGGATCCATTTGTAGATTTTCTCAGATCATGTAAGAAAGCATTGCTGCGGAGGGTGAAACCAAGAAAGCGAAAAAAGGAAAAGAAACTAGGAAATCCACTTCTGTGCTGTCTCATGTTAAGGCATATGCATAGCAGGCAAAACTCTGGGAGAACACCCTGCATCTGCGTTTTGCGAATAGACAAGGCATCAAAGCATGGTCCATTCAGCCTGATAAGTCAACTGTGTCGTACCCCCAGCCATAGATGCAATCTTTGTAAATTTTTGTATATGAAAGGTGATGGCGAGTGACATTATTTGTAGAGCTCTGCATATATTGGTTTGTGGCAGTCTCAAGCAATAAGTGGATGTACATTTCTGGTTGCTGTTGCTACAGTTTTGGAGATTATGCTACTAGCGATGCGGAGACCCTCCGATGCTGCCACGTGGCAGTCTACCCGTGGGCAGTGGTATCCAACATGTCAAAAAGAGACCTTTATGTTGGTGTGGGACATCTGGTTGGTTTATGTGAGCCAGGGAGCAGCCTTCGATCTTCCGTCTTCTTGTCTCGAGCGGGAGCACATATGATCCCTGTGATGACACTTGGTTGTGGCAATCAGCTGCCTGAGGAAGGGAGCGATGAATGGCAGGGGCTTGAGAACAACCCGAGAGGGCTTGCAGCATGTGGATCAGAATTGTTCAGACTTGCGATTCCAGGGGGCACCCATGCAATGTCACCAGCTGCAGCTCCAGTCTCCTCCAAAGATGAGGAGATCCCTCTTGTCCGACATCATGTCGATGAGGACAGCGCCATAACACTGAACAAAGGAGATGGGAGAGGTAGGACGGTCACAATGATGGGTCCATGGTCTGCTCCATTTGTCGCTTCAAGCCAGATATGTCGGCAGAGAGTCCTGCTTACAGCGCCCGATGGGGAAGGTGCTGGGCATGATGTTATGCTGACGTGCACTGCAGTTTATGCTGATGCGCAGGTGCATCTTATCATGTATGAAGATCCTTTCCCTCTGGTCACTGTCACAAATGGTCTGGATCTCCCTGTCGAAGTGTGCTGTTCCGAGACACGCAAAGTGCAGCCAGATCGGGCCGTAATTGTGCGACCACGATCGAGCGTGGACTGTGATTGGGAAATTGGAGAGAGCAGCACAGATCGGGCAGAAGACAACCCCATGTGTGGTCACAGTAGACGCAGCCAGAGAGGAGAATGGGAAGAAGTGGAGGATGGAGAAGGGAACGAGGCATGGAAGGTGTGCCGGGACGATAGAGTCACTTTTGAGGAGGAGTTGGATGAGGAGATGTGGCTGCACATGAAGAAGGGGCCAAAACGGGGGTCCATTTTTTTTCGTGTTCATGGTGAAGAATGGCTTCCGCCAATCGAGTTGAGTGAAGCCATGGTGCGGAGACATAGGATCCTTGTTGGAAAACACCAAGAGTGTTTCTTGCTGGTGGAAGTGTCAAGGGCAGGACCGACATACTCAGTTGAAATACGACAACAGCGGGAGAGTGAGGAGAACTGTGCATCAAGCAGCAGAAGAGGAAACATACTTGTTGACTCATCCGATGCAGGAAGAAATAGGTGGGTGGAGGGAAGGAAAACTGAACCTGCAGCAAAGAAAACACCTGTGGATAATGTACATGTGGATGTGTACATTGAAGCCCTGAGGATCCGCATGTGTGACGATGAGCGGTCCATTTTCCGGGGGTGGGAGATGGAATATGCACAGGTTAGGAAAGGAAGAATGACTGACACTGAAGGAGGGGGGAGTGGAGGGGATAGTTCTACTGAGATTGCAGTGATGAGTGTCGACGGTGTGCATGTGTCGATTACAAGGCAGATGGTCGGCGGTGCTGTACAGATGCAGGCTCTGACCAGTGGAGCTTTGTACCATCCGCTGTTCACGGTTGTGTCGCTGAACGCTTCTGCGCAAACCATCCAACTTGACAGCTTCTTGCCTAACTCAGAGATGCCAGTTGTTCTGACAACTGAGTTCATGCCAACCAAGCGGCCAGTGAAGGTGGACACAGGTACTGTGGAACCTCCAGGCTTCTATCTTGCCTTTGAGGCTTGTGGACCACCTCAGCCAAGTGGGGAGGGTGGTTTTGATGCCCAACGATTGCAATGGTGGATTCACCATATCCGTTTGTCTCTGAAGCCCTTGATGCTGAATGTTGATGATGAACTGATTGCTCTGATCGAACGGCTGCAGAGGCACTACTCGGATCGCTCAGTTCAGAGATTGACAAGAACGGGAGTCGAGGGGTCACATCCAGTTGGTGACGGGAATGCTAATGAAGGCGGTAACATTTGTGTGGCCAGTGATCGTGAGGAGGCAGATGATGCCGAGGCCCAGCATTATGCCAAACATGGTTGGGAGAAGGGGGAGGAAATGATAAGAAAGGATGGATCTCCAGACATGTCTGCTGCTCCCGAACGATATCAGGACTTCACGTTCGTGGAACCCCGACTGTTCATTGGTGAGGTTCGGATCGAGGAGGTGTCCTTGCTGGTAACGTTACGGATATCGAGGCCAGTGGTACTTGGAACGCACCGCTCTCCTGTCATTCTCTCCCGTTTGCACATTGTGGATGTGCTCCATCCTCCAGCAGTGATTTTCCGATCTGTGCTTGCTCGTTATGTATTGGAAATTCTTTACAACATGCCGAGCGTGCTTGGCTCCCTCGAACTGTTATTCAATCCAACTGGGCTTGTGAAGAGCATCCATGCAGGCTTGAGGGACCTTGTCAGAATGCCACTTCAAGAGGGAAGGGCAGGTTTGCCTGGCTTCTTGTATGGGCTGGGTAGGGGGGGAGTGTCACTGGTCTCTCACATGTCTCTGTGGTCATTGACATCAATAGCAGGATTCTCATCTGCTTTGTCTCTGATACTTGACCGTGCCTGCTACGATGATGGCATGAAGCTGGATAGAAGTTTGATAGCTGCAGCGGTCGGCAGAGGTAAAGGAAAAGGAGCACCTCATCGGCATCTGTCACATCGAAGACTGGTGGGCCTCGGGATCGCAACTGGTCTAGCCGGCCTTGGCCAAGGTATTGCTCGAGGTGTTTCTGGCGTGGTTACGGCACCTTTGAAAGGTGCAGCTCGCGGAGGTGGTTCTGGCCTGATTTTGGGAGTTGGCAAGGTAAGCTTTTTTATCCCTGTGGATTCTGTGGAACACAAACCACGCTGTAGAATCTGTAATTCATTTGGGCCTGGGCAGCAGGGGTGATGGGTGCTATGTGTAGGGGGGGCTCAATGTGTGCTATGTGTACTTGGTGCCATAGGATGTTGGCTTGGTGCAGTACTATGTAGGCTGTCTGCACTACTACGTTTGTCAGATGTGATACTTTGTGGGCTGGGTGTGGTGCTATGTGAGCACGATGTGATACTTTGTGGCTGGGTGCAGTACAATGTGGACGGTTCGGTACCGTGTGGGCTGGGCGGGGTAGGCTGTGGATTGGGTACAGTAGCCCACAGTGCACAGAATCCCACTCAGAACCACTGCACACAGCGCACAACCCACTACATCCAGCCTACAGCAGTCTACAGCATGCATACAACCTACCAACCCCAGCCAACATAGTAGCACCACGACCCGCCCATCTAGTACCCTCACAATACTGCACCCAGTCCACACAGCAGTGCACCCAGCCCATATAATACCTGCATCAAGCTCACATAACAGGCACGGCACCAAACCCGCCGAGTTGTGCTCCCAGCTCATATTTCACAGCACACAGCCCACGACCTTCCACACCCAGCCCACAACCAACCGAACCCCACCCACAGCCCACTTCGTCCAGCCAAAGACCCACCGTGTGCTGGGTGAGGGTCTCCGTGGGCCTGGTGTTGTACTATGTGATCTTGGTTCAGTACTATGTGCGGTGGGTGCATTACTGTGTGGGTACTGTAAGGGCTGGATGAGGTACTATGTGGGCAGTTCTTTGTTGGCTTTGTGTGGGTTGGGTATGTGGGTTGGATATATGGGTCAGTTTTTGTACTACATGAGGTGGGTGGGTGGTAGTGGTCTTCTTCGGGCTGGGTGCGGCTCTATGTGGGCTGGGTGTGGTTCTATATGGGCTGGGTGTGGTGCTATGTGGGTGAGGAGCATGGACTGTTGACTTGGTGCTGCACTATGTGAGTGTTGTTTGGTACTTTGTGATGTGGGTCTAAGTGCTCGGAGTGTGGTAGTTTGTGGGCTTGGTATCGTACTATATGAGGTGGGCGTGGTACTATTTGGGTCGGGTATCTGGCTCAGTTTCTGTACTGCATGCGGTGGGTGACTGGGTGTGGTCTTGTTTGCACTGGGTGTCGTTCTATGTGGGCTGAGGGTGGACTGTGGACCTGAGTACGGACGCCGCCCGGCCGGGCGGGGCCGGGTGGGCCGCCCGTGCAAACCGGGCGGGCAGAAAAACCAGCCCAGAATTATTATTATTATTTTTTTTTTGAAAGCGGGGTCCTTCTGTGCTCGGCGAGAGGACCCCAAATCTGCAATAAAAAATCTGGTTTGGGGGGGGGACGGGTTGTCTGGGTG